ACTTTAAATAAAACAAACAATCCAAAGGATTTCAAGCCACATAGGCTCATTATTATAGTTTGTACAGAGAGTGCTTAACACATGGAAGCTTGGAATGAACAGCTGCCTTTCAGAGAAGATGTGACAGCACAGTAAATCAGGCAGATATGGTCAAGCTTGTCCTTTCAATCCATTGTTTGGTTTTGTTTGAAAGTATACAGGGGAATAATTTCACCATATAACCTTAGAAATTTAGCTTCGTAGAGTAGGAAACTAGCCATGCTGTGTGATGCATGGAGAGACACTGACTCTTACAGAGGTTGTTCAGAACAAACACCTAACCGAGGAACATTGCATTCCCTGGTTTCTCGCCCAGGTGACCAAGGGGAGCTACATTTACCTTACCAGTCGAGTCTAAAAAATGCAGTGATTAGCTTCTGAGCTCTGTGATGCTGAAAAGGATTTTAATGAAGGCACTTGTGTTGAAGGATTGAGGTAACCTGGTCTGGAGGAAACCTTTCTAATGGAAATCTTCATTTATTATTTGTATAGTCATAACAATGTAGTGCTACGATGTGGGTTATGGCCCTATGGCCCTACATACTATCCTAACATTGCCCAAATGCATTTAAATGATAATGCTGCCTACTTCTCTTTCTTGTAGAAAAAGGCATTTCAAAGGTCGTTCCTTTGTCACTCATCCTGTGTTGGTACCACATACATGGAAGGCAAACACAGATGCAAAAACACTCTTAATTTTGACAGAATTTTGTCCTTTGTCTATGCAAAATCGGTGGCTTCAGGCCTTTTATAAATGGTTGGTGGCTTCTGGGTGGGTACTGGAAATTAAAGTTAAGAAGAAATAAGCCTTCTCATTGTCATCAGCAGAATTTAATCTGACTTGGTGGGATTTTCCGTTTATGTTGGCAAACAGAAGCATTACATATTTGGACTGTTTATTCCGGTAACCTTAGCTAGCCTGCAGAACTGCAACATTACTCTTTTGATTAGCTCCATGCAAAAAGATCTTGCGAGGTGGAAAGATCTCCTACTCTTTCTATATTTGGCAGGACCAACTCCATAAAAATGTCCATTTTGCCACGCCTCTGATACCCCACTGCAGCTGCTTCCTCTCCTCATCCCACAGTGAGATATTAAAAAGTTTGCATGGAACCTTCTCCAAGTTTATCTGGATGTACAAAAAAGCCAAGAATGCGCTTGTCAAGGTTACAAATATCTAGGGAGCTAAGATAGTTTTTAGTCTAACTAGCTCTTCAAAATATAACAGAGGCCTGCCAGCTGAAAATTATTAACTGCTGGCAGAGCAGGGATTGTGAGTGCACTCTATAAGAAATGGAGCAGGAATTATATGTACCTATACTGCTGGAATTCTTACAATACCATAATAGAGCCATCCTACCACCAGATGTGCTTAGAGTGCTCTCAAAGTGCACTCTTAATATCTAGGCAATTGAGGCACTTATTTCATTTCATCCTCCTGTCTTGTAACTCAGGTTTCCTTTTTAGAGAGTGATAGGATTACTTCCTTCTCCTGGTCCATATGTTGTGAGGGTTTCTTTTCATTATTATTTCTGTGAAATGGCCTTCCATGAGTCATTTATGTTTGAACTGATCTTGTAAGTTGTTTCAAAAGTCAAATGGAGCCTTACTTTGATGACTGTAGAAAACTTTAATACCCTTATATAGCTTTTTAAATATGGTCAGACATATGGTTTTTTCTACAGCTTGTTTAAATGCCAGAAAGGTAATTATGAAGTGTTAGTTGGTCAGTGCCTCTTTTAAGCTGCCGCGTATGGTTGAAATTATCACTATAGTCAAGAGGAAGATAGAGCTTTCTTAAGTAATAGGCTTCGTGATTTATCTCACATCTTGGGAAAGAACTGAAAGTTATAACTTTAGAATGACCCAACAATACTTTCCCCAGATTATTTTTTGTTCTTCTGCCCTCTGAATAATATGATGTTTGTCATTTTTTTAAAACCTAGTAGAAACAATTATGCTAAACAATTCATTCCATCAGAGGATAGTTCTGCTCTCAAACCTATTTTCTGAGCAGATATATTAGCTCACCCAATACCCACTGCTTGTTTTGTCATTTTATTATCTGAAGCAAGTTTCAATTATCTGTGTGAAAGTTCAATGTTTCGTGAGAGATCAAGAGAGCTTCCAACACAAATAGGTCTACAGCCTGTGATGAAAAAAAGTTTGTCACTTGTGTGTTCACTTATTGCAAACAAAGGAACTACTGCCTATCAGGTATCATTTTGTGCAATGCAACCTTTGGGGGGGGAATTGTAAAGGAAAACTGTTCCAGAAATAGCAATTTTCTAAAAATGCTACCTCACTGAAGGGTGGGGGGGGGTTTAATTCCATCAATATATTTTAATTCAGTCATAATAATTTTAGAGAAAGGAACTGGTTTTGTTGCATCTTTTTAAGATAGGTATCGAATATGATCTCCTCTGTTGGGACAGCTAGTAAAAGAAAGTAATAACAGTAGTAAGTAAACAAACAAGTGCTGTTATCCCACTCAAGAATAATGATTCATTCTGCTAATGATGAAAAGACAGGTCCTGAAAGTGAGTTCAATCTCTTAACTGTAAAAAAAAGAAATATTAGTGTCACACCAGGTTCACCTTGGAGTATTTTTTTAAGTCATTGAAGGAATACTGATGTAAAACAAGTATGCAAGAAGAGTCAAGCCTTTTGATTTACTGCATTCAGCTTCTAAATACTGTCATATACCATGGAAACCCACACCCAGTTCCATGCCTGTTCACACCACTTTCCCGTCAAAGCAGTAAATTTGATTTTAAGAAAAGACATTCCTAACTGACAACACTGGAAGTGACATAATCACTTGGCTTAGTACGATTCAGAAACTGAAAAATATGTCCAGAATCTCCTCTCAATTTTCTTTTTGTTTTCAATTAACAATGCAGTTTTTACTCTATATTTTTTTTCTGACTCTCAGACCATTTTATTGTGGCAAGATATAGAACTGGACTCTATCAAGCTAAAAATCTTAATGCTTTCCTTTTCTAAGCAAGGGTGGCTTTAAGCAGGAAGGCAGGCAGGAAAGCAGGAAAGCAGGAAAGCAGGAAGGCAGGAAAGTAGGGAGTTATCTCTAGCAGCTCAATTGTCACTCTGTGATAATCTGGGGAAGCAGAGAAGAATTAGATTACATAATTAGATAGGATAATTCTAATTCTATTGAAATTATCACAGTTATCAGCAGAATGCTTAGAACTGACATTATGTGACAGCTAGAAAACAGCAAGTGCTCCCATGACTTAAATGAATTCTCTGCACTTGTGTAGCACAGGCTGCCTTTTCTCCTCCAGAGACGTTATTCAATAATTATCTGCCCCTTTTTAGTACATTAAATGATTCTAGTTTAACTATTTCCTTTACCATAGTGAACTGTCTCTTCATTTAGTTGTACTACTCAACTTGATCTTTGAAGAATGAAGAATTTATCAAGGACAATAGTTAAATTCCAGGCCAAATTCACCATTATTAAATATGGGGATATGTTTTCTCAGTTCAGCTGACTGATTCCTGTCAAATTGGCCAGCAAACATTTTTAAAAATTTATTTATCATTGCTCAGTACCACAGACTCTACCTTCGTCACTGAGACAGGAATTAATTCCTCCTCCCCTTAGGTGTCAAAATCAGGTGTGGAAGTTAATCTAATTTCTTGGCTTACCTTAGTCAGTGGAAATAAAAAGGCAAAATTTTATCAATTGTTTGATACAAAATGGTGTATTTTACAAACATAACAAACATAATTAAATAACTGAAAATTACCTCAGTGGAACCTGGCAACATGTTCAAGTCAAATGAGATATATTACTGGTGGCTTCTTGACAAGCTGGAAGGGACAGCTATTCTCTAGAAGCCTTCAAAGAAAAAAGCTGTTTCATTTGCTTGTGTGAGTAAATGTGTGTTCATATATATAGAAAAGACTGGATTTTCACTGAGATGTCTACTTATAGCAGGTGTTAATGAAGCTCAAGAAAATTACAAAACTTCTCATATCTAGAGTTCACAAATCATGATGCTATTCTGATACCTTCCCTTGAATATATCATCATCTTACTGACTGTATCTAAAGCAATCCCTGAATCTAACGTTGATTCCTGAAGAAAGCTTTCAATTTTAATGATAAAACTGTAGGTAATATTTCAGCATATTCAGTGTACTTGAGTCCAGTATTCTAAATATCTTTAATAAAACGCATAATTTAAATGTGTATGTTGATGTAACTATTATTTGAAATGTGACTTGACTACCTATTTAGTGTGTTGGGATGAGATCCTGAAACACTTCAGTACATGCTTAACATGAGTATTTCCATTAGAAATCAATGTGACAACATGCATGATGAAACTTGAGCACATGCAGAAGTGTTTCCCGGACCAGGGTTTGGTGAGCAGGAAACCAATAACAGTGATAAGAAATTCCATCCTCTCCTCTGCTTTCACAGTGCAGGGTAAGATAAAAAGTGGTTAAAAATGCCTGTATTCCAGTTCTGCTGGTGTTCCCATTCTTGCTGCCATCTGGAAACAGGATGTTCAGAAACTCTGGACAAATGGCTACTGCATATATTTAATAGACTAAAACAAGATGCTCATATTTGTTGCATGCAGGCAAATCAACTGCTTGTGCATGCAGTATTTGAGACCTACCACTTCTCCAGCCACATCGATGTGGACAAATTAGAAGAGATGTGCACCAGTTTAACAGATATATTACTTGTGCTTTTATCTTCCATCTCCACCTACTAGATGAAACTAATCTGTAGCTGCTACATATAAAAATATTAATTACTTGCATAGGAGAGAGATAATAAATGTGTATCATTTTGCTATAAACATTCAATCTGATATATCAACATATCTATCGGTACCATAAACAAGAGGTCTACTGTGAGAAGCTACTAACCGCTGCTAAATATTGGGCAAGAATTTAAAGTCCATTATTTTGCATCAGTACCTGTCTTTCAGTGAGATCAAGGTTTACTGCTATCTCATACCGCCTCAGCCTGGTCAAATAGTTATGATGAGCAAATTCTGCTTCTAGCTCTCTGATTTGCTCCTTGGTGAAAGCTGTCCTTTCCTTCCTGGGTTTACTGTTGACCTCTGACTTGTAGTTTCCTTCTTGGGAATCTGGAAAAAAAAAAAAAAAAAAAAAAATCAAAGTAATGACAAGTGTACTGCTAAATAGGAAAAACGCTCAAAGATAACAACATGCTTCAGTTACATTCTTCAAATTTTCTTCTCTCAGAAACACACCCTTGCTTTCATACCTATGGATTCTTCACTGTAAATCAGGAAAGCAGCAGTAATTCTGACAGATGTGAGCTGCTGCTTCCATTCACACACATCAAACTTTAGCTTAAAACCTTGCAGCGTTTCATTTCCTAACAGCTCTCTCTAGAATTTCTCCAGAGCTTCAACTCCTTTCCACTTCTGGCAACTGCCGGTGCATCCAGCTACTAAAGGATGTGTATCATTTGACTGGTGTCTTAATGAGTAATACCTCATGAATCTCCCTCTCCTACAATTTCATTAATATTTTAAACCAAAGCTCTATTTTAAAGAACACACTTTAAGGTTTAGTCCCGTTACGCTTTCAGGGAAAGGTAACAGACAAAGCATAGGAAAATCAACACACATCAAAAAAGGAATCAGTGAGAACATCCCACATGATAATGGGATCTCCTCCTACTCATGCGATGGTGCAGGTAGCGAGGTTATGCCACAGCTGGCATCAGTATAGGAAATTTGCTACCACTGCAGTTCATTACCTAAGGAATATTTTGGCCACAATCAGAGGGGCTTTGCTGAAAGTTTTGTTACCACTCTAATAATTCCTTTTACTCTCAGAAACGGGTATATTTGGTCCTGAGCCAAACTATTGAACTCAGTGACAGTAATTCTGTTGCTGCCAGTGAAGTCTGTTTAAATAAAGAGATCAAACTATATAAAAAAAAAAAAAAAAGAAAACAGAAAGAGATAGTGGAAAGATAAAAAAAAAATAAGGACCAGACATTTATAAGTTTGGGTATGATACAATACCTATAAATCCAAAATTAGCAGGAGATCAGTAGGAGTATCATTAGTCAAACTCTGGCCTCCTGAACCATCTTAAAAATGTCACAGATAAATTCACACTTCAGCTGCTGATTTAAATAGAAACCTGCATCAACATCCAAATGAACAGGCCCACAAGAAATCACTCCCTGGGACTCTGTGTCAGATGAATCATCGACATGCCTGAGACTGTCCAACTGGCCAGTGGGTCTGGTTTCAAAACCACAGTCAACTATCTACGTTTTCCCTTTTTGTCAGTTACTCTCTTGCTTGGAAAGGAACTTTTCGTTTGTTTTATGAGAACTGTTGATGTTCGACTCGGTGCTATAGTCATTAATTTAAAATGTTTTAAAGCTAATGGATTCAAATCGCCAAACCTGTTAACTGTTGCTGACATGACACACAGAACTTTGCTTCAGACGTGGTTGTACTGCTGGTGTGTATGACTGAGGGTATCCAGCAATGTTTTTGAGTGGGTCCGGGAGCTGTTCAGGAACAACTGCAGTATGGATTTTCTACAATAGGACCCCATTAGATGTCACACCATTGACTACTGTATACGGTCAAGGTCCAGTATCCAAACTCAATACAGAAATCTTGACAGATCAAAACCATCTTAAACCTAGAAGTTGACATTTCTTCCTTCATACTAGTTAGCAAACTAGAATCACTATAATTTCTCTCTGCATTTTTCCATTGCAGGAATATGCATGTTGCTTTTCTTCCTTGAAATTTGCTTACCATAAGGTCCAAATACTATGCAGATGAGCTGAACTTAAAAACTTAAAGCCCGATATCAGCATTCCAATGAATCACTGAAAAGAGATACGTAACTTATTTTTCTTAGCATTCGGACTTACCATTCTTATACCACCAGAGACATGTGCATGCTGCTTATCTGCAGTACAACACGGAAATGTATTCCATGCAAGTCATTGCTTAAAGTCCTCTTAACGGTCTTGGTAACCTGTGCCCATGCGAGGCCATGAGCCAAGAAGTCCTCACAGGTACAGTCCTTTCTATAAGAAAGACCCATGGCTCACTGGTTTCCAAACTAAAGGTTGCAACCTTAAATAACCGTAATGCACCTACAGATGGCACTGACACCGTATTGAAAAGTAAATGCTAGAAATGAAGACATAAGCCTGGAAATGCAAGAGAAAGCGGGGTCAAAGGTGTAAAACCTTGGTAGTTACTCCTATCATGAATGGACAAAGGGAAAAACTTCAGAAGTAGCCATTCAAACGTCTCTCAGGAGGATACTGACCTCTGTAAGTGACTGAGACCTATAACACAAGCAATTTTTCTGCAAGCTTACGGTTCCATGAGGAAAACAGAATTACTGCATGGCCAGTAAAACCATAATGAGCCAAGTCACCTTTCAGGTTAATACTCATGACTCTGAGTTCCCAATTTACAAATGCATCTAAATTAGCAGGTTAGCATCAAAATTCCAGGTTCCTGGGATACTGGTGTAAGGAAAGGGAAATATAACTGCATGAGTAGCATTTGTCCTTCATCTTTGCCAGCACAGAGAATTCAGCACTGCTAGCAATGCTAGCCCACACAGATTCTGTGCAAATACAAACATGCTTGGACAACTGGTTATTTAGACATTTCTGCGATTGCTGGATACTACCTTTAAGTCAATGCTGGACTCTAAGTGCCTGGCAGCCACAGTTTTGTCAGCAGTATGATTTCATCAGCAGACAGACACAGTGGAAAAGTTTCAGGTTTTGATTTGTTTATTGTGAATGTCATTGAATGTATTTGTAATAGTCAAGGTATTATGAAAAAAACCCATATCATATATATAAATATTTCTGAAAGCAAAAGTTGGAGAGGTACGCGGAAACCTGAGACAGGTACACAGAAAGTTGACTCCCTTTCAGTACTGAGGTTCATGCAACAGAACAATTGTAATCCTACAAAATCTGTTTCAGCAAAGATCTGGCCAGCAAGACTGGTATTTTGCTTAATGCATTTGAGATATTGCAAATATAGAGAGAGAGAGACAGTTAAGTGAACACCAGTTATGAACTCTTGCTGTCATCTGACTTTCTCTGCTGCAGTGTTACTGTGGTTCATGTACAGATTGCCTTTTATTTCCTATTGACATCATACCACTTGGAATAGTAATTTTAGAAATTTTGTTTGTTTTAATTTCCAAAGTGGTAAATCTAGGTTTTCTGATTGTTTCTTTTTAACACGCTCTATAGAGCCAGGATTGGGAGCTCCCATCTCTTTCTGACCTTCAGGTCTCTGCTCATATCACCTGACTAGCTTCTCTTTGGTGGAAAATGGGTGGGAGACTTGGAAGAGATTTTTGGCAGAACTGATGTCAGCCTACATCTGTTTTGCAGCTGTTGCAACTAAGACAAGAAAAAAGTCCCAACAACCTTAGTTTTCTTCTACTGGCTACATCTTATGCCAAATGGTAGGTGTAGAGGCAGAGAACAAAGCCTAGGGGGATCTAAGTTACACTCCTTGCCTCTCAAAAGGCACACATAAAATATACACAGATGGTACAAACCACTTGATGAAAAATACAGCAACCTATATTTTCTGTCTTCCGCCTTCTCCCGGACAAATTCTGGCACACTCTCAGAAGATGTAGCTTACATGCAGGTATTAGTACCTTATCAGTCTCTCTTTCCCAATCCTTTGTTCTTCAGATGTCAAGTAAGGTAGGAAGTTAAACACTGCCTTGAGGAATGCGGGTCATACCTCTTTCTCAGAATTGTTTCTATGAATTTTCAAAAACTCCAGGCAGCATCTTTAATATCTCCTCTTTGACAAAAATGCTTGTTGGTAACTGATGTAGAAGGTACCATTTGGAAAGACATTCAAAGTAATAAATGACTGTTCTTACAGATCTTTAGAGGCTTAGATTTTTCCAGAATTTAATAATAGCTGAAATTTTTTTACAAAAAATCATTACTAATGGCACCATTCCCACCCTCAAAAGTTACTTCTACTTTACTGAGGAAAGAATTGCTGTTAATCTCAACATTTATATTGTCCAACTAGAGTTCCTATCAACTTCTCTCTACATCACCGAGATATGAAGCACACAAAGCAAACACAGGATCTATCTCCTGTGTGTAGAATATGAAAACTGATCATATGGGTATTTTTGCTTTTGATGAATGCCTAGGGAAAAAAGGGCTGGCCACAGAATAGGGAAAAGAGACTGGTCAGAATATCGATGTTACAAAGATATGGTGCTAACTGGGTAGGGTCAGAACCACAGGCAAAATGTGCAAGAAGCACCTGCTATTTTTTCTTGGATTAGTTCAACAGCTGACATGCCTTCATTTCTCAGACACAAATGAACTTTCAGTTAATACCTGTAATGGAAGATCCCAGAAAAGAATTTTCAAAAATAAGTCAGATTGGTAGTGCTCAACTATTAGCAGATGCAGATGGTTTTTCAGATCCTGATATCCATACTGATAGTGAGTAGTGGCAATAATCACTAATGATTTGTGAGAAAAAGGCCATTGGAATTTCACCTCTAGAGTTGTTATTCAATGTCCAAGTTTTCAACTTTCACTCACATCTTCCAACACTTATTCTCAGAAAGCCTCTACCATGAACAACCTATTTCTAAATTTATTTCACTATAAGTTTATAGTGAAGTTGGCTAAATTAAATGTTCATAATTGCATACCTTCCTCTAAATGATGTTCAAGGGTTTGCAGACAACAACTACTACATGGTTATCTGCTTTGAAATGAAGCAATCCATGTAAAGTGATCAATGCAAAAAGCTTGCTACTTCTGAGTAGTTTAATGTTGCATGAAAGAGCATTTCTTTCAAACTTAATTTTTCTACATTTGTTTAAATCACTAACATGTAAATAAAAGCTTTAGAGCTTCTAAACATCAATAGGACACAACAATATGTGATTTAACGCAAAATGCTTTTTTTTTTTTTTCCTTCAAGATATTGGCAATATGAACTTAGGGAAAAGTACTTTAGTATCAGAGCAATAATCTAGCGAAATACCATTATTCTGAAATACACATGTGAAGAAAATAAACAACTTAGTACTATTACAGTTGCAAAGGGATATTTTGGAGAGGACAATTATATTTTTTAATCATCAGAAGTATATACTGGTATATATCTGAACTGCCTAATCTAATTTTTTCTGATGCTTTATATTAATTATATTTTTGGACAAAATGAAATAATTCACTGAGACGCAAGCAAGGCAGAAAGGTCTCCATATGGTTCCTATTGTTTTGCCAGCAACTACATGTGAGAACAAGATTTACCCAGAAATAGTCACTTTCAAATATTTTTGACATTTAATAGAGAATACTATGCAGGTTTTCCATGACATTTTTCTCTATTTTCATTTCAAAGTTGCTCAGAATTCATATGTAAACTTACCGTGTGTCCAAAACATTGCCCATTGCTTTGCAGGATCCTAATTTAAATCCTTACTCCCTACTTTTGTTTATAATCTTTGTACCAAAAAAATTACTTAACTCTTGGGCTATGCAAAACTACATAGTTATGCTTACTTTGATGCATCTACTCTTATTTGCACCAGCTGAGACTATGCAAACTTAATTAACCTATTTTTTTCATAATTTTTCTTCTCTTTAAAGTAATTTAAATAATATTCTTAGAAGACTTTGCTCAGTTAGAAGTACAGTTCCAAATCACTGAACATAGTCTGAGTGCCTTTTTTGAGAACGTCATTACAAGTATTTCTGGAGCTGCAATTCACTAAAGGTACTTAGAGAATCCTTTCTGAAAACCAAAGAAACCCAGCATCGTCATTTCCATAATTCACAACTCTGCATGTGCAAATGGGCAAAGCTGCACAGTAGCACAAGTAGGACACTGAACTTACATGAATCCTTCTCTTCATTTTAAGGAAAGCAAACTTTTGTTTGCTTATTGAGTTAATGCTTTCTAACTCAGTCTTGTGACAATTTACAATTTAAAACAGCTTCATATCCACTCCCCAAAAAAACATGAACTGGCACAGTAAAACCTGTGGCTATTCTGAAACACACTACACACCATCCTAAACCATTGCCTACCAGCTGTTGCTGCCAACCTTTTTTGTTATTTCTGCCTCCTGAAAGTACAAGTCTAGGTATTACACTGCAGTATCGGGAACACTGATTCGTAACACCGGGATAGCTAATGCTGCAGGTTCTTGAACACACCTGTGCTGGAAAAGATGTGCTTCTGCCAGGTCATCTGATCAATCTAACTACTTCGCATGCACGTGCCACTTCTTCATGCAAACATAGAAGACAACATATGAATTTTCTCATATGAATAATTACACTAGTTAGTAGATCTTCGTGTGGAAGTCACTACTCTTAGCAAAGGTTTAAGTATACAATAACAGCTTATGTTAGGAAAGGAGGCACAGGATTTCCCTTAAAGAAACTTTACAGGCTGCATTTTAATAGGACTTTATCCAGTGGGACCTCCAATTCCCATTTGGAGTTCTGGAGATACATTGCTTACGCGCAGCATTGAATACCATACACGTGGTGATTGTTTGCCTATTTACCAAACCATTTTTACAATTTGCTTTCATGTAGAAAAGCTTCATTAAATGAAGGTGAGAGCTGCCAGCACCACCTCCCCACAGATTAGCAGTGAGTCCTCCTGAGTTAACCTACAAAATCAAGCCAAGAAATTTTCCATGCAGAAGCCTCTTAGAACAAAGGCATCCAAGTGGAGAAAATGGTAGCTGAGATAGGAGTTTATATAATCTTCCTTCCCTTGCGTCTTATCTCCTAGACATCTCCCACAGAGGCTCTTTCCTACCCAAAGGAAGCAGGATAAAAGTGAAGAGCAACCAAACCCACGCCAAACACTGTGCGTGCCTCAGTCATCATCACTGGTCTGATGAAAGTCTTTCCCTGGACAGCAGCTGCGTCAGAACTCCAAGGAGGCATTAAAATACTCCTTTTGGCCTTACTTTATTGTATAAAAATACTTAGTAAAACAGATTTTTTTCTGCAGGGATGGTCCCTGAAAGATCTAAAACACTTCAAACTGTAGAAAAGTGGCTGCTTACGAAAAGATATGACACACAGAACTTAGATAATCACTTCTCAACAAGTCTTATCTCCCTAAAATGATGGGTTGTAGATTTCAATTTTGTGAAGCAGGGAGACCCTTGTCCTCCCAAAAAAACTAGAGCAGCCAACATAGGCAGTGTTCTGGGACACAGGTTTAACAAAGGGCCATATTTAATTCCTGTCTGAAAAAAAAGAAAAAAAAACCAAAACTAAAATACTTTAATGATAAAGAATGCAGTCTGGGTGATTTAATCCTTTTGGCCAGTGTGCTTTTTGATGAGATGCTTTCTCACAAGTACATGTAGATCTGCCTCTTTGTCATCGTTAAAATATAGTTGAGGTTGCTCCCATTTATATGACATAAAATGCTAAATATTTAGCTTAAGATATTGCCAGCAAAAAGAGATGAGGCTAAGGAATGGAAAAATATGTTGCAGTGACTTGCTGCTAAGAAATATATAGAGAAATTATACCTATATGTATCTTGCATGTACTGTCTAGAATTTAAATATCATGAAAATAGTTGTGTTTTCTTTTTCTCTGTAAAGCCAGACTGTCACTGTTAATATTAAGAATCCAAATACAGTGGGGATTGGAACATATGTCAAGCAATGCATCTTACAAACCTTATTTCTATATTAATTTCTTTATATAAAATGTCATTAGTTTTACATGTTTTCAAATTTACGTTCAAAGTCCCTTGCATTTAAAGCAGCAGCACATTCCACCACAAAACTAGCAATGTCTGCTTCCCAAATGGCAGACTGGGAATTTGTCTGCTTAGAAAGTTCAGACCTTGTGGATATTATCCTTCGTATCTGTGAGTAAAACACTTTTAATGAGGTATTACAAACTTTGTTACTCCACATGAAGATCTCAGTTATTTAGTTGTCAGATATCACCAGAATAAATCTTCACTGTGAATTTCCAAATATCTTTCTAAAACCAATCATTGTATTTTATCCATACGCAAATAGACTTCAATTTTCTTACATATAGTCACAATAGTCACCGTAACCAAAGGTTGCTGAAATCAAGGTGTAATTTCCAGACTTCACCATATGTATAGCTCTTTTTTCCTTAGCTGACATGCTATATAGCATAGACAGTGCCATTGCCTCCACTCCTCACACACAAGATACTACATTAACAAAAGTAAAAGCCAGAATCTATAGTAATTCTTGTAGATCTTGCAACAGACCACATCAGAAGAGGAGGAAGCTGAGGGGAGACCTCATCGCTCTCTACAACTACCTGAAAGGGGGTTGTGGTGAGGTGGGTGTTGGTCTCTTCTCCCAAGTAACCAGCGATAGGATGAGAGGAAATGGCCTCAAGTTGCACCAGGGGCGGTTTACATTGGATATTAGGAAAAATTGAAAGAGTGGTCAAGCATTGGAACAGGCTGCCCAGGGAAGTGGTGGAGTCGCCATCACTGGAGGTGTTCAAAAAACGTGTAGATGTGGCACTTCGGGACATGGTTCAGTGGGCACGGTGGTGTTGGGTTGACGGTTGGACTTGATGATCTTGGAGGTCTTTTCCAACCTTCATGGTTCTATGATTGTGCCACAGCGTGTACCTTCGCTACAGCAAATGGCCTAGAAAAG